GGTGGGGGCACCGTGGTGCCAAAGGAAATCGATCGATTGCAAACTTTCATATGATGTAACTCTAAATTAGGGATGCAATTAATGATTGTTTTCATCACTGATTCAGCTGCACTTTTTACTTGTTTCCTTTTTAATAAATAGGTTTGGCAATACAATGTTAAACAACCATGAGAAAAGGAGCCAAGTAAAAAAAACACACACACACACACACACACACACACACACACACACAAAAACCCACTCAGTCCTTGCCCAGAGGTGGAAACGCTCAGTCAGGCAGACTGAGCTTTGGCTGTATGTATATCTACATACTCATTTACAGGAGTACAGTGGTTGTAGTGGAGAGGTGAAGAGGTCTTAAATCCTCTTTGTCAACTTTATTTTTAGAGCAGTGGGGGAAAGAATGTGTCACAGGACTCTTAATCACCAGACATGGCTTTTTACACACACACACACACACACACACACACACACACACACACACACACACACACACACACACACACACACACANCACACACACACACACACACACACACAAGCCATTTATGTTAACTGTTCTTTTTCAATCAGTCACACACAGACACGTGGACACACACTCCATTGTGGAGAGCCTCACAGGCTCTTACTGTCAGACAGAGGCAGCTTTAGAAAGAGAGTGCTGAGTAACACCAGTGTTTAAATAACCATCAATGCATCTGGGCATGAAAGCCCTCACAACATGTCACTGTCATCGTTTCAGAGGAACTGCTCCCATTACAAGCAGCTATTTGCTTCATACTGTATTATCTGAGCTAAGATTTGTCATGGCTGGTTGGATAACAGTGGACCTCTAAGTTGGAGGTATTTTGAGTTTTTTGACAGTCAATGGCTGTCTCATAAAATCTACCCAGCTTGTCTTTGTTGTGCTTCCCTCTGATCAGCTCTCCTTTTAATTCAGACACACCCCTTTTCTAGTGCATTTGCACACATTTCATCAGACATCCAGATTAAAAGACGTAAATAATGATAGTTCCTCTTTTGATCCCAGGCAGCTGTATTTGAGTTTGTGAAAGGAAACTAACACAGGCACATTTTAGATAGTGGTTAATCTCCTTCACTGAAATAAGCTGTTTTTGTAATGAATATGAACATGTATTACATGAATACAAAATCTGGCTTGGTCAAGGACATATAAATTGGGTCATAGCTCTGCACCTTAAGACATTCATGGTCACAGAAGCATGCTCAGGGAGCTGTGGGACATTGTTTACTTTCTTGACAGATCCCTTCAGGCTCCTCTGTTTGTTGTCACATGAAACTCTCTCTGTCTCCCTGATCTGCCAAACCCTCTCACTCTCCTTTGATCCTTCCGCTGAAACTCGATCACACAGCGGACCTCTGGCTGTCTGCCACCACATCCTCAATAACCTTGCTCACCTGTGCATATAAAGAATGTGTGTGTGTAGGTGAGACAAAGAGGTGGAGAGGCCCAGTGTATCGGCATCACAGCAGGGTGAGACCGTAGGGTTGAGACACTATCCAACCTGTCCTGTGTGAAAACACGTTCTTGAAGCCTATTATTATTGAGACTAGTGTTTAAATGCGTACATGTGTATGCACATGCACTTGTTCATTCAGCCCTGACCACCCGGTGTTGTCAGTGCGTCAGACAGACATGCCAGGTGTAATGTTACCTTTTCATGTGTGTAACTTTGCACCTTTTGTGACTTTGTGAAGACTCACCATTGTCGGCACCTTAAACTCTTGATCTGAATAGCTTCTGTGTTTGCGTACTTTCTTGATTCCGCCTAGACGTGTGTGTCAGTGTCAGAGTATGATTTGTGCGCATCAGGGAAGAGCCCAAGAAATGCTGTGTGGATCCACTTAAATGGACAGACCCTGCAATCGTTCAATCATTTCCTGAAGCATTTTTAAACACCAGCATCTTAATCATGGCTGCTTACATCCCTTACCAAAACAAAACAACTCTGTCCTCCCTTCTTCTTCTCAAGGTGTTGTCTATACATTGTACAACTGAATATGTATCATAGCCTCTGTGTGAGATACTTGATGGTGTGCACTGCATATTGAAGTGCTGTATAGATCTATGCGTGAATGACTGAATCAGACTTTCACTGTAAAGCACTTTGAGTGCTACATCAGTACAGTCCACGCTCTTGGTGGGCCTGCATGGCAGCTAGTTATCATTGCTAGCATTGTTAGCACAGGTTTAACAGCACTGTCATGGGCAGGTGACAGGTGTGTCTATAGTGTTTATGGGCTCTGACAGATGTAGAAAGGGGAAGAAAATTACAGCGTCCATCAAGTTGTATTAACATCACTGCTGATCAGAGCTGGAGCCATCAGAAATTTGTGGAGGGCCAAGTGTTTGAAAGGGAGGGATACATTTATAGCTTTTAGATCTGTGTACAGTTTGGTTCGATAAATCACAGTACTTCCATTTCCCTTTATTTTTGTAATTATAAAAGATAGACAGACATGTGTACGCTCAGTGGAGGTATGCGTGCCATTTTAGTTTCATATAGAAACATTCCTATATAGTATCGTATGCGTTTAACTGAGATTATCACATTCAGTAAGTCCCCTTTAAGAGAAGTTCAGACAGTTCTCTGCAGTTTGAACAACACACAGAAACACACAGCATTGTTTTCCATTTGCATGGCCGATAATGTTAAGTGGCTGAGATTGTGGCTCCAAATGCACAGCAGATATGCGTCCATCGTCAGGCACGTGGCATAACAGAGGCTCATCTGCTGGTAGCTCAAGCACTTAACTTGGAGGGGAAAGACCATTAGAGGCAATCAGGCCCGTCATTTTTAATGGGCGGATCGGGACGGAATGGAGATGGACATTTGGCCTGGTGGAAGAGTTAATGGTCTAGTCCACTTGAGGACAAGGTAATGAGAAAAAGGCAGGTGGAAGTGGTGTGACGGTGCATCTGTGGTTGAGGAACAGGTCCTAATGGAAACCAGGCTGTGGGCAGTTTTACAGCGACCACCACCAGCTGATAAGCCACTCTGTGGAATTCCCTGCACTCAACATGCCACCTGCATGTGTTTATGTGTGTTTGCTTTTTGTCTGCTTTACACTTTGGATTGTGTGTTTGCAGTGTGACTGATATGTATTGATTTGGGGCTTATGCATTTCTCATTGGCTGAAAGCAATGGCCTTTTCCAGCCTGTGTTTTTGAACACAAAGAGAGGAACTGCGTGAGTCGGGCAGGTGGCTTACTTTGCTGGTCCTTTTTTAATCCGTGACCTCTGTAGTGTGTTTTTGTGTGTGCATCTATGTGTGTTTAGGGACAACATCGTTCATATGTATTTACGTGAACTTCTTACATGCATATTCATCTAGAATGATTTTATTTTCTCTTCTCAGTGTGTGTTTTGTGCCAGGGAAGGGCTGATTGTCAGATGAGGGGAGGGCAGGCTGACCTTTTGTTCTGTTTGCTTGGTGGGCATTCTTCTTAGAACTGGCCCTCCTCCAAGTAAAAGCCAGTGGCCTCCCATTGGACTCAGTGCAGTGCTGCCCCCACAGGGACACAGTGACACTGACTCGCCTCCACCACGCCTGTCAGCTTGTTCTTAATGAAAAGGATTAGAGAAAACTCGTTATGAATATAAAATAAGAATTGCTTGCTCATACTACTTGGGATCATTGGGTGATGTCTGTTGAATTTCCATATGATGATGTGTACAGTGAAACATTATAATGTACAAGTTTACCTAGCTCTAATCATAATAATAATAATAAGCATTAGCAAGCATCATTTTCTCAGCTTCTCATTTTTACACTGTGCTAAGCGTTGCTTTGGCTGGTCAGAAAACGTTTAAAGTTTAAACCACTTGTTGGTTCGTCACATCATCTATAACTAATTAACTTGATAACAGACCTAAATTAAACTTGTCTGCTGTCAGTTTGTGTGTAACCGCACACCGCTGTCCGTACTTGTCAACGAGGAGAAGAACGACCAATCCCAAATCAAAAACAGCAGATGAAATAATACATGGTCCGTTAAGAGAGACCTCAACTAGAAGGGGCCAACCAAAGAAGAACACAGTCGATGGCGGCAATGCACCTTGATGATGGTTGCCAGCCGCCAATAAATCGAACAAAGAAGAAAATAATACATCATCATTTAAAAGTAATGGCTAAAGAAATGGATGAAAGAAACTAGTAATAGCAAACAACAATGAGGGAAGGCCATTTAGTAAAAGTGCATTTTGAAGAGTGATTTATTTAATGAAATAAAATAATAATTCAAATTTTATTTGTATAACCCATATTCACAAATTGTCTCATGTGGCTTTAAAAGGTGCAACTACCTTAAGAAAAACTACCAAAAAACCCCTACTGAATAAAGTAGATCAGATTTAGTATCAGCAGAGACACTGTGGTTGTGGGACAATCTCATCGCCCATCTCAACATCATGACAACAAAGTCAAAGTTTCACATCTTTATTTCTTGGAAAGAAGATACTAAATTTTCTGTTCTTCAGGCTACGCGTCTCCTCCGCCATTAATTGATCTGGTCTTCTGTTTGACGCCTTGAACTTGTGCTTGTGCAGTCATCTGCCTTGTTCAAACCAGTCTCAAGTTCTCCTTGTGATAGCTGAATGGTGTCTGGAATGCAACACTAAGTTGCAAGGTTTCCAGGAAAGTGATGTCAACATGGGATTGTAACATGTTCACATGAGACATGTTTTTTTTTTTGTTCGTTGAGTTCACTGAATGTGAATAGAATGGGCTTTCTGTTAGTTCTGTAGTTGTTTGGCCAACTCTCTAACTCTTTGTGATCATTTCCTCCCTGTTATTATGTTTTTAAAGGCTGCCTGTCTCACATCTTCACCCTTCAATTAACAGAATTACCTATTAAGAACTATTGTATCTGCATAAATGGAGAGTAAAGCATCTTAAAATAAAGAAAGAAAGAATGAACTTGACTAAAACAATCAAGCCTGAAGTTAGTTTGTCGTTTCTCTCCACTGTCTGTCCAGGTCCTTATGGTTGAGGTGGCGTGCTGTGCCCCTTGCCATGCCTCCTGCCATGACAGACCTCCTGGACATATGGGCGGCCCACTCGCCCCTGGCCGGACACGCTCCGGACCAGATCACTGTGGACTTTCTGCTGCCCACTGGTATCTACATTCAGATGGATGTTCCGCGTGAGGCCACCATTCAGCACATCAAACTGGTGAGTGACATTGGATGGGGTTAGAGCAGGATGGAATTCCTACAATGAGATTTCCAACTACTTAAAGAGATATATATATGTCTGCTGAGAGGTTGACCCAACACGTTAATTTAATTAATTAACTTGCTGTGTCCTGAAGCTTCATCATTGTCCTTGCATGCCTCTAGGCCTGTACAGTGGCAGTCTGCAGCTTAAACACATATACATGACTTAAAAGTACACAAACACACAGTTAACCACTTAGACATTATCCAATGCCTGTTTTGACAGAGGTGCCTGTTTTGACAGAGGTGGCTCCTGTGGTAAGTTCTGTGTTTTTTGTTTGTCAGCATGCAAATACTTTGTGACATCATTCATGACTGCAGCCAATGATGTGAAGATGATGGCTTCGGGAAGTTATTTAGCGAATGACTTGTCACAAAGGGTATGTTGGTCTGTAGGGGTTTTAAATAATATTAATATTATCAGTGATATGAAAAATGGAAACACCTGTATGATGCCAGGGGATGAAATACAATATCACTGCAGTTACATTCACCTGACTTGAGGCTGACCTTCATGGTGGTGCTTTTATGCCTCCACGGCAGAGGCATTATGTTACCGGGTTGTCCGTCCTTCTGTCCGTCCCTAATTGTGTATACAATATTTTAAGAACACCTTTTGGGAATTTCCACACATTTTTTACTAATAGTTTTTTCGGACACAAGGATGACTTAAGGTCATTGTGACCTCATAAAACTCTTTTTGCCTTGTTCAGGCCAAATCTTAACAACACCTTGAGAGAATCCTTTTCACAAATGTTCACTTTCAGCTTTAGATGGTCAAAGGTCAGGGTGACCTCATGTGAGTTTAAAAAAAAATAGATTTTTAGACTGAAACTGTACTGGTTGGCGGAGGCATACAAGCGCAGGGCAGTTATTCTAGTTTTTAGACTACATTGTACTAATACCTGTTCAGGATATTCATATAGGCAACCCAACACTTAAAATGTAATGCAATACTGCATCATGTCCCAAACAGCCTTACAAATCCTTATTCTTTCTGAATCTACACCTCGAAGGTAATATTTGTTCGTGTTTATTATTTCTGTTGCATTGGATTGTACTCCCTTTCTGGTGACTCAGTTTTTAATAGTATGATCAATTTGAAATCATCCTGCAACACTGAAAAATACAGCCAGAGCAGCCTGTTCTGAATGGGTCTGGTGTACAGTGTAAGGTCTTGTCTGGCAATTTACCAAAATCACTTCTGGCCTGTTCTACCCTGTAATGTGACCAGAGACACAGACAGATTTAACTTTGTCAGACGTGCACATCAACAATAATGTTTTTGTTTCATTTTCATGGAATGATACGATGATGAGTGAGGTTTCTGCCCAAGATGTCTGAAATAAATATAAACGTGGGCGTGCATGCATAAAAGATGTCTGTTGGCATGGACACATGAGCGATATTCATTAATTCCATGGGGGAAGCACGAACAGAAGTTAGTGAGTGAGCTCCAATGAATTATGTGAGACTGAAGCAAGAAGGAAGAATTAAAAATTTTAAAAAGAGCTGTCTTATGAACGTCAGATTTCTAAGAAAGCAAACTGTTGTAAAAATTACATTAAATCATTAATTTCTGAGAAAATTTAGCAATGAAATGATTAAATGTTCTCTACATTTTGCACATAGTGTGCGGAGAGTTGTTATCAACATAACATGAAATCACGAGTGCTCCTGGAGAAGAAGGTATTTGTTGTAAGGGTAAATGCATAATTTTCCAGTATGCTACAGCCAAGCGCACTAACCTCAGACTTAATAATAAGAGTAATAAACTTTATTTCTATAGCACCTTTCATACAAGACATGCAGCTCAAAGTGCTTTACATACAACAAAGAAAGAAATCAAAACATTTATATTACATTTAAATGAAATATGTTTTTGGGAACCTTTAAAAGGCTGCAGATCTCAGTGTTCTAGAGGGGACATAGTTACCTAGAGAGTCAGCTATGTAACTCGGTCCACGCCCATTCAGAGCCTTGTATTTAAGGAGGAGAACATTAAAGTAATTCCTGTGTGTAACCGGCGTCCAGTGCAGAGCAGCTGATTAATGTGTTCCTTAACCTTGGTTTTGTTTTTGTTAACAGCCGAGCAGCAGAGTTCTGAATGAGCGGGAGACTCTGTATTGTTTTCTTTTGACGACCTGTCCAAAGTGCAACTTATATTAATCCAGTCAGCTAGAAATTAAGGCATTTATAAATGACTGAACCTTTGCTATGTTTCTAAGATGGAAAAATTTGGTTTTGGTCACCCTGTTAATGTGGGCCTTAAAACTCAGATCACAGTCTAAAATAACTCCTCGACCTATTACTTATTATTTAATCTGACTATATTGACCCCGATTATTTTCCAGCATTTCCTTTTTTGGATTTTGGGTCGGCTAAAATAACTTCATTTTTATCCTCATTAAGCTCTAGTAAATTACAGAGCTTTTATTTAACAGGCAGGTTTACAACAGGCACTGCACTAGTGGGGATAATTATCGATATTAGTACTGAAGTTCTTCTTTTGCCTCTCCAGCTATTATGGAAACAGGCTCAGACGTTGCCGCTCTTTGCCGCCCTGGGCGAGATGGAGAGCCACATGTTCGAGTGTGTCAACCAGGCGGCCGTGCACGAAGAACTGGAGGACGAAACTCGCCGGCTGTGCGACGTTCGCCCCTTCCTGCCAGTGCTCAAGCTGGTGACGCGCAACTGCGGCCGGGCAGAGCGTCTGCTGGACTCCAAAATCGGCGTGCTCATTGGCAAAGGTGTGGCACTGTACTTTTAAGATTCTCTCCTCAATTTATAGGTTTCAGATCATCATGCAAGCTCTCACATACATTACTCCCTCTATAACTCATTCATTTATCTAGCTGTTTGACATTCCCAATAAAGAAAAGCACTCAAGAGTAGGTAAGTGGGAATGTAAATCCTTCCTGCCCACAACAATCCTTAAGCACCTCCACCAGGACACTAAGTAGTCACTCCTACTCAGCATATTCACCCGCGCCATCAGACCTGAGGCCCGTCTGCAGCTGACTTCAATCAGAGGTCCTGCTGTCTGATAGAGAAGCGTGAGGAACGAGCGGACATGTTTCTGACATGTCTTCCATCACTTGTCACTTTGAATTATCTCTGGTGAAGATTCTGCCTTTTAGAGGAGCAGAGAAGATTGATCCCTACTCTGATGTGAATGAACATGTGTTGAAGCTCAAACTCACTGATATGTATTCATTCATAAGAGGAAAGAAAGAGTGACACACTGAAGCTTTTAAGTCAGACTCTAGTGGCTAATAGAGCTGCAACAAGTTGATGAATGGATAGATTCGATTAATCATTTAAATCATTTGTTGAAGATTTTGTTGAAAATGATGTTGAACTTTCTACAGACAAAATGATTGGTTAATGGATAAAAAATGATAATCTGCTGAGTATAGGAAATAATGGTTTGTTGTAGTCCTACCAGCTACTGTATATTTGAGTGAAGTGTGGTCAATGCGCACTTTATCCATTTTTATTATGTGTAAACAAGCAAATACAAAAACACAATTGTAAAGCACCATATCCTCTTGCTCACTAACACCATGTCTACACAGAAGGTGTAGTTCATGCACAAGAATTCACTTGCGTCATTGCAATTATGTGATTGGCTTATTTTTCATTTTTGAAGTTACAAAACGTTTATTTTCAATATTCACAAAGTGGCTTTTGTGTCTTGCAGCACATTAACAGAGCCGCAGCATCACTCTGTATGATTTAGTATTGAGCTATGGGTCAGACACATTTTGGAAGCATTCAGAGCACTTCACACAATTAGTGTAGTCATGCACGTAAACTACAGGAAAATAGAGATGGCCGGTGGTTGAAACCTCTTCTGTATGCAGAATTCTGGAGGGCCTTTGGTCACAGCAGACCTCTTCAGAGGAAGAAAGATAAAGAGGGAGAGAAGGCTCTCTGAGTTTAATTGAAAGCGACTCAGACGATATTGATATGCTCCCCTCCTGGCTCCACTTTGGTCTGACATGATCTTTAAAAAACCTTTTGTCAGAGGAGAGTGGTGTGGAACCCCACAGGCACGTCCCACACATACACACACGCCAACCTCGTGCAGTGCACAGTAACAAACTATTATACACTCACAAGGCCAATTATACCCCGCCCCCCTTTAGAAAGAGTTACAAAAACTAACTCTCACACTCACACAATGCTGCTAATGTGGTCCAGAGCTCCACTTTGAAAGCTGAGGGTCATATGAATGTTAAATGGTTTTAAATGTCAACATGTTGTTTTCATTACCAGGAGAGCATTGTGCAGCCCGCCTTTGATAAAAAATACCGAGACAAAAGCTCAACAGGGAGCGGAGAGATAAACTACATTCAACCAAACAGCCGCTCATAGTTCTGGCATTTGGCGCCACTGTCAATATTAAGAATCTCTACTTTAATCCAATTAGAGACTGCAATATGTGACCCTTCGATATTGCAAGGCGTAAATGTCTTATATTAAGATTTGTAAAGGTGCAAACGTATTTTATAGCATGTGCAGACTATACAATACAAGTTATATAACAGTGCGCTTAACCAACCTCTACTAGGTCTCCATGAGCTCGACGCTATCAACGACCAGGAGGTGAAGGATTTTCGCAGCAAGATGTTTCGCATGAGCGAGGAGAGGATGCTGCGAGTCCAGACCATGACGAGAACAGAGTGGCTCCAGGCCTGCTTCTCCCCACAGCTGGAGCCAGAGGCCGGAACGGCAGTCACCGACTCAGCCGACCTGAAAGTCACTATCCACTTTGACCAGTCTCAGGTGAGAGTTTGCGATGCACATCTAACAGATGATGACAACAGTTGTAGCGCGAGTGCATCTGTGTGAACCCAAGTAAAATACAAATACCATTTGTTCCATTTGACGACAGACAAGAAAGATGGAATTACATATACCCTCTTTGTTTCTAATAAAATCACTGACAGCCTTTTTGCTTTTATTTTTTATTTGTTCTTGGCTGTAATCAATGGAAGGTACAATAATATTATAGCAACAATGTTGTCTTTGTCCTGACTCTTCAGAACCAAACCACTCTGCAATCCTGCTTTAATAGCTTTAAGCTTTAATAGTTCATTTTATTGCGCACCACGTAATGTATTGAGATCGTCATCTAAAAATATCTGTCTACTGCCTGTTTGGAGAACTAGGACCAAATAAATCTTATTGGATGCAGGAGTACTTATCTTTCATACAGTTACATTTTTTATTATAGCTTGTTGGTATTTTGGAAAGACTCATTTTTAGAGATTTTCTGATACTGATACCAGTATTGGAAATGCCTCTGACACAAATGCTGCAAATGAAAATGTCTGATACCACGTCTTAAAAGTATATTAGTTTCACACAGATAAAGAAATGCTTACTTTCCCCAAAAAACTTCTTCTTTGCTCCAAGACAGACGATGGTCGGTTTTGCCATTGGCGAGTTCTGTATTAGAGCAGTGAAGAAGAAGCGACTTCTGGTAGTGCAGCGTTAGCCAGAGCTAGCTGAAATGTCAACAATTTGGCAGTGTTTCCAGATGCAACATCATAAGGCTTTTGAAGAAGCATCACATGAAAGAGCATGAGTTCACAGAGACAAGGGGAAAAGAGCATTTGTTTCTGTTCAGAGGTTTTATGGCATTCATTCTTTGAATGTATTTGTTTTTCAAAGGGTTTAACCTTTAGCCAGGTCATACAACAAGTATAGCAATCAATACTTTCACACAGGGTTAGTAGCATATAAAGCTGTTAAAATACATGATGTAAGTTGCTTTTTTTTGTGACTGTTGTAGATAATAAAAATATATATATGTTTATACATTTAAATGTTACGTACAAACCCATTTATTAAATATAGCAGGCCTTTATTATTTGTTATGTTCAATCATCATTATAATTATTCTCCTCACTGAGGTATAACTGTTTAAAGTGCCATGCAGCCATGCTGGTAAGATAACAAACCCATACGATAGTGCCTGTACAACTTCTGTGCATACGTAATGAGCTCTGTCTGACAGTGTGACTGACTGCATCACCGGAGCAAACAAAACCATCTTGTTAGAGTAACAGAAGGTGACCAGGTGACTCCATCAAAGCAGCACATGCACTTCCGTAGCTCAACAGCTTGGGCTGTTCTGCTGCTGACAGTTGGCACAGGCAGTCACATGACTGAGCCCGAACAGCTCATCATGTGACTAAAGCAAGTGGGTCAAAACCATCAGTGAAATCATGCCATTCTCCCTGAGACACTCACACACACACACACACA